GGAGTGAAGCCATTGTAACACCGTGCTGATCTCATTCCCCAAAAAGGTGCGGGTTAACTTGTAGCTACTCTGGTTAACAGTTAGCTGCGTAACAGATGTTTGAAACTCACATTTGATCCCACGACTAACTACAAGAGAGTCATTTTCAAGGTTCAATGTCAACCCTATTGCATGAGAATTCACATTATCACTCCCATTTGAAACTTCCGTTACCTTTGCAATTACAACAATTGAAAGATTAAAACTTTCTTCAATTGTAGGAAATTGACTAACAAACTTGGTGAGACGTTCCCCACTGTGTTTCTTATTCGCAGAACTTCATCGCAATTGTCGAATGAACCCCAATTATCATCAATGTAAAACCTAGTAATTACTCACCGAAAATGTGCCCGGTATACCGAAAAACTTCCACAAGCGATGTGGCGACCTCGCGCCACATAAAGGGCAATGAATTATACGGAAGTACGCCAACTTGGAGGGACATACACTCAATGTTCGAGGAGATGGTAAACTAATGTTGACAGGCGTGCATATGAACGTGTAATCAACTTTTCAGTGGAAAAAATAATTCAGTGAGTTGCCTGGAAGTTTTGACGCGCCGCTTATAACCCGTCAAAAATTACCTGGTTTGGGATGAGGACAAGATGATGAGGTAAAAACATTCACTGGTCAATCGGGGCTGCGGATCGTTCAGTTTAAGGGGAATAACAAACGATTTTCCGTCTCAGTGTTAACCTTTATTTTTCAAACCACAATAGTTTTCTATCAATTTTTCAAGCGCTGTGTATTAATTATTGGGTAAAACATTGCTATCGTCAGTCCGAAAAGATCCTACCCATAACCGTTCACCATCCTGGTATATTGTTGATTTAAGAAGGTTTTATATCTCATACTACGTTTTGAGTTGACTTAGAAGTTCAACGCCTTCACCATTGCACTTGAAGCAAACTGACAACAATCTGGACAATGAGGGAAGAATGCCACTCAAAACTCATCCTATTGGCAGACAAACCACTGGAGTTTTTCTATCATTACCATGAATATAATCAAACGGAAGTATGTGGTGATAAAAATCCTGACCGACAACCATTTCAATATCCGAATAAAGATACCGAGCCGGCTTTCTCGGTTCCAAGTATGGGTAATTTTCTTGAACAGCCAAAACATCAACCTTCGAGACCCAATAATAATTTCATCCTGCATGTAAGCGGTTACATTAAAAATTTTACCAGTCTTAGATATGTCAGCAAAATGTGTCACCTCGAAAAATTCACTCGAAAAAAATTAGTGAATTGAACTATGGAGGCTCAAATCTTTTTTCCCTGACAATTTTATACGGCAGGCGAAGCTTGAGGAAGCCAGGAGTGCTTGCTCGAAGGATCACACAAAACAAGAGCATTATCGGTTTTTGAATCAGATGACACCCTTAAATCTATAACCTGAAACATGATTTTAACGTCCTGCAACAAAGATGCGAAACAAAAAAATTTTGATTTTCCGCCGAAATATTTCCGGAAAAATAAAATTTTTTGCATTCAAGGAGAAAAAATACAATCTGCACCATGCAATAGTGAAAAATGTGCACACTTTGCATTCAGGTTTGTGCAATTTCGAGCCTTTGCGCATTTACGGATTATGCTTGCAGACAGAAAAAAAAACAAAATGTTTCTTCCGGCAAAAATTTGCCTTTTGATTAGAATTCTTTTCCTTGAAGACCTCAACACCTCATAACGGATGTTTACCAGCGCGATGCGAGCAGACAGATATTCAACTTTGCTTGGTTTAGCACTTGATGCAAAAACTCGGGTAGCAGTTTTTGTCTTGACGGTTCCTCGGTTTTTGTTTTAGCAGAGAAAAATTTTACAAGCTCACTCATTTTGGCTTTATTTTTCAACTTCTTCATGTTCGGAGGCAATCTAAATAAAGTTTGATTCAAGATGACGGTTGTTTTCAAAATGTCCTCACTCTACAACGATTGAAGCTCACCAATAAAACTGCAATAACGCAAACAGAACTTACAATGCTTTCTAAATTGAGCTTTTCAACTGGTGGAACGCTGTTAAATTTTTCAAGGTTGGCGCTCTCGAAGGTTTGCGTTAACCAAAATTTTCAATCCTCAGTGCATCCCTTTAAAATCCCATCTCAATACTCCAAGTCCGCAATTGCCAATTTAGCTTTCCTGTTAACAGCGAAGGTTTAGCTTTCCTGTTTTTCGGTACGCCATCTTAATGCTATCCGAGGGAGTGAAATGAGAATCAAAAAAGCTGCGAAACTAACATACTCATTCAATCCATTGTAACGGTTACCATCGTGGTTTAAAAATTTCCCAATTAGGTGATGGAGCCTTCTGTTTGACGCCATGACTACGACTAAGTCTTGAACAGATATCGATTGCGTTGACGCACCAACATAATTTGGTTCAGGTTGATATACGTGAGATACGACCAAAATCGAAACATACGGCTGATGAACAGATGCATGGATTGCAAGGGTGCTATCTCATGAGCTGAATGAAGTGAAAAAACATGTTCCACTGCTATTGTACGGGTGCGTTAAAATTTTTGGATTGTTAACTGGTTTAATCCACTCAAATATATGCGGTGTTTCATTTGACTTTAACGGGTTACAATTTGCACGTATCGAATTTGCAGTTGAATGAAATCACGATGCGTGGTTTGGGTGACAGAATTGACTGAAGTAAGTGGGATGACCAACAGGGGGTATTACCAAAAGAACTGAAGTATGAAGAACTAAAGTTAAATACCGCAGTGACGAAAAATTTTCAAAAATAGCTGAAGCGACAGGCTCAGCATCGACCCAATTGTTTGCGACTGAAAACCGAAGGGGGTTTCATTTACTTTTCGTTTATATTCGACATATAATTACCTATAGTGCGCTGGGCATCCGTGTTGGCTGCGTAACAAATCTAGGATTATTAGGAAGGATTTCAGCCCCAAGCATTATTGTTGAAGACAAACCTCCTCATTTGACTTTAAACACAAAAACTACATCCACGTTGGCGTTAAACTGAATCGTAATTATTCCAGAAAAAAATGCGCTCGGTTCGGTTACGGTCAATACCGTGTTCAAACTCGAAACATTTTCCACTCAAGATTCTGTGCGTATATCTTATGTTTCCCTAGAAGAACTTAACAAGCTAGCAAAAAAGAAAACATAGTCGTAGTCATCCTGCAGTTCGGCTTTAGTTGTTTTTATTTAGTAGTTTTTATCTACTTTCCTCGCGGGTTTGTACTTCTCCCAACCTTTTTTTTTATTTTTTGGCTCTTGGTTTTTGAGGTTCTTGTAAGCGCATTGATGCTTCGCTTTGTCTCTCGACCACTTCTGTTTCAAATTGGTTAACATCAGATCTTTTTTCCAATGCTAGAAATCAAAGTTATAAATCAACCTACTCTGACTCGATCTATACTAATGTAAATTTTGAGATTTTAAGTGAGCTTTCAAAGAACCCGTTTCCCCAAACGAGATGAAATAAACCTTGCTTGCTCCCTAAACACCACATAGTTCCTATGTTTGTGTGGTACCAGTTCGTGTCGCTTTGTCACAAAATGAAGCCACTGTTCCAATTCCTCACTTTTCATCTCTATTAGTAGCTTTTTCGGCAATTTGAATGTTTTAGTTACTAACAAGAAAGCCCTTTTCAGGAAAAAAACTGCAAATGATGTAGTTTTCAGAAAAAAAAATACGTTTTTTGTTCTCGTTGCCTTTTTGAAGAGTAATATGAACACTTGGGAGCTCGATTTCTAAATTAAGCTGACACTCAGTTTTTTTTGTAATTTACGGTTTAATTCCTGGTCCGTTGTGACAAACTGTTACAATATGCGATTGAATTCAATAGAGGGACGTATCAAACTTTAAGCCATCACAAAAACCAATGAAGAGACATTAAAGCACTGTAACACAAACACAACATTTTATAAGATAACTATAAGACCAATTCACTCAAACGCCCCACCATACGCTTCAATATACTTCGGCTAGGTGCTTCTGCAAATTGACTAGGATGCGAATACGTTGATTATTGTGAGAATACGTTGCGGAACTGCTCATCCTTACCCTTTACCTTTTGATATCAGGTAATTGACTTTACTTATGGTTAGAGTGCGTAAAAATTTGATTTTATAAATTATTTTCTCAAATCTGGTGCAATAACAGCGCACGATTTCCTTATTTTAGCTCGATATTGTTTTAAGATGCCAAATGTTTTTTTTCAGACAATTGAAGTTATTTCAGCTAGGTCTTTTAACTGAGTTACTTACGCCTTCATGCCAAGTCACGGTTACCGAGTAACAGTAAAAAATGGCTTAAAATAGTGGTGGACAGTCGTGGAGCGTCGTGGAAAGTCGACAGTGGTGAACAAAAGCGTTTGGATTAATACTTAGATCAGGTATGGCAGAGTTAGTATCAACAAATTAAAATGAATGACGCGGGTAGTTTTTCTTGCGCGTGAAGCAACGAGCTTGCACCGGTAATGAAATTCATTGATGGTTTTATACTGAAAAACTTGACGCTGCAGATTGTTTAGTTGGAAAAAAATTTCGAAGAGATTCAAGGGTTTTGTCTAGTTCAAGACAAAATCAAAATAACCACTCGAGAAAACTTGCGGTCACCGGAGCTCAAGCAATATAAAAACTTAAGTTTAGAATCAGTTCAGATTGCTAACAAGTTCTGGCAACGCAATTAGTGTTTTTAGCCATAGCATTCTGAGATTTAAGCAAAAAAGATATTCATTCTTAAGAGATATGAAAAAATGCGCTTAAAGCCATGTCGAAAGCTTCGAATACTGAAGAGAACTTTAGTTTACGTTAAGGAAATTTCAAGTTTTTTGAGCTGGGGCTCTTTTTTTTCATTTCCATAGATTAGAATTTAGCGGTAAAAAAACTTTTTATTGAGAGGTGTCAGAATTTTGCCACTATCATTTTCCACCTGTGTACCAATCGCTATAATGTTTAAAAATTTAGCGACTGCTCAAGATTATATACCAAGCTATTTTTCAATAAAAAGGCGCAGCTGATTTGGGAATCCACGCAAAATTCGGAATACTTATTATATTCTTTGTCAATCAGCTTGTCCACGAAACAATGATAGTCGTTTTGTTTTAATTCTTCTGGTAACCGGTATATCTTTACAATGATTTCAGGTCCATGAATAAAGTGTCCATGTTTTGGGATGGGTGAGAGTTGTAGTACCAGTCCATCTCTTTCTATCCCATTAGACCGTTTATGCTTCGCTTTTTCCTCACCGAGCTGAATGAGTTGTGAAACTATGTTGTGTGTGTTCCTATAGCTCCTTCCTAGCCAATGAATTTTGAAGTTTCTCTCCTCTTTTACTCTGGCGAGCCATTGTTGTAAATCTGAACGATACACTTGGCTTTCTTGGGTAAAATCCGCTACCAAGCAACTCCAGCATTCCAAGTCATAAGGATGCCAAAAGAAATCATCATCTTGAGAATCGTCTGCGAACAAAAGCAGATTCAATTCAGGGAAGAACTTACCATTTGCCTTTAAAATAAAATCAAAATAATTTAATGGATATCCATGGCAGATGATGATGTCATGCTCTGCGAGTTTGTCAACAAGCTTATTCAAGTCTTCTTCATCAAAACCGTATTCGTAAACTTTGATACCAGCTCGTTCAACATATTCTGAATAGCGAGCTAGTTTAAAGTCACCTTGAAATAAAATAAAAATTTTAGTTCCGGGTTGAGTCAAAACTGTGTGAATAGCTTTAGCAAGCAGAACAATCGTCTTTCCGGACCCAGCTGCCCCAGTGATTACAATAGGGTAGTTTTCATCTTCAAAGGCGTTTCTTTGCTCATTTGTTATGTATTTCAGCTTTAGACAGGTTTCGAAAATGTTGATATTTTTCACCACAAATGGCGGATCTTTGAGTTCACTTGTTTTGATCACTGATGGGTTTGGAGGAGTATTGTTTCCTCTGAAGGTAATTTCTGAATTTCTTAATTTTTGATCAATCTCTACGACACATTCTTTCAAACTAAGACATTTTTCATTTTTTTGTCCCTTATGCGAGGTAAATAATCGCAAAATTGCGCTCTGTATTTTTGTTATGTCACCTGAAAGCGTTTTGTTTCCAAGAACACTTGCTCCTTCGTTCTTTATATTCGCCCAAATTTTGTGGAATTTTTTGAAATCATCTTTGTAGATGGCATGAATGTTTAGGGGGATGTTTTGTTCGACAATGTTGGTTTGGTTTTTGCAAATATTTGGGAAGGCAACAAAACGGAAAACGCGGATTTGGGAACAAATTCCATTTTCTGTTTGAGTGGAATCAGAAATTTTCTCAAGGAGTTTCATTCCTTTCTCGAGTTGTGTAGTAGCTTTCTCAATAGCAACCAAAATTGGAGGTTTTTTTTCCGATTTTTTTTCTGATGTTGGAGATAGCGATGAATCCTTGACTTTGTTTCTTGAATCATTAAGAGCGACTTCAGAGTTTTCCTCTATGTTGTCATTTGGCTGACTTGTTGTGGCTTGCGGTAGATTATTGGCTTCGCTCCTTAACTTATTAGGAGCAACATCAGGGTTTTCCTCTTTGCTTTCACTCGTTTTGTTGTCTGTCTTAGTCTGAGCAAGTGATCGTTTCTTAGCTTTTGACATTTTGATGGAATTTCCGAATAGATGATATCCTGGCACCCGAAACAAAGTTTTTGATGATGGAGATAGCGATGAATCCTTGATTTTGTTTCTTGAATCATTAGGAGCGACTTCAGTGTTTTCCTCTATGTTGTCATTTAGCTTACTTGTTGTGGCTTGAGTTAGATTATTGGCTTCGCTCCTTAACTTATTAGGACCAACGTCGGGGTTTTTCTCTTTGCTTTTACTCGTTTTGTTGTGTGTCTTAGCCTGAGCTAGTGATGGATTCTTGACTTCTATCATTACGATGTAATCAGGTCCAAATACAACGAAATCATGCTCGGCTTCATCTGCATGCGCGTTTTTACAGTTAGGTTTTACCCCAGAACGACTGCAGGTTTTTCTATCATGATTCGAGTCCCAGATTCGAAACTGGTCGTGACTGTAATCAAAACTATGAAACACAATAAGGGGCTCCTTCAATTTCTCAAGTGCTCGATATACAACCACCTCAGCTTCATAATCTTCCTGTTTTTTTATTTCAGTAGCGATTACATCGTTGTCATTTTCTGCACCATGAAAGATCTGTTTAAAACCCAATAGACCGGTTGACTTAGTCCACTAGTTAAGATCACTTAATTGATACTGACAGATCATCCTCGTATTTAATCCCTAATTTAGAATTCGTGTTGCATCCCTGATTAAACCTTTCACGCACTTCATTACGAGGCCAAACTGTGCATTCTGTGCATTGTAAGAGGATTCCGCAACAGGCCAAAATCAGTTTTGTCGCGGAATCCGCAACTTTGCTACTTTTCTTTGATCTTTTTCGCTGTCGCTATTTTGGATTCCACAAACAAATACCTATAACATTGCACTGCTCAAAATCGCTCCGGAATTAGGCGGTTTTGCGGAATCCGCAACCGTACTTGCGGAATCCAGAACAGTTTGTGGACTCCACAAGCAAATAATAAGACATTTGTTTAGTTAAAATGAGCTGTTGCGGATTCCGCAACTGTAAGCGGAATCCGCAACGTGTAAGTGGAATCCGCAAATTGTAAGTAAAATCTGCATTTTGTTTGCGTATTCCGTTTATATATTTATATGTGTGTAGTATAGCGTTTAAAATTATATCGTTTAATTACTGTACATCAGAAAAAGCAATCTCAATCCCAAATGCTAACCTCCTGATCCTAAATACTGGCCTACATTGATCTGAATTTCGATACCAAATACTGATGCAATCCCAAAAACTGACTTAATTCATCAATAAGCTGTGCGCTGTCTTTCCAAACACTTTAAAGCCATGGACATCAATTGCTTAGTTTGTTCGGCTCTAAGCTTCCAAAATCAGTATTTGGGATTGCGTCAATCCCAAATACTGACCTAAATTAGCGATATGCTATGTGTTGTGTTTCCGCACAATCTCAAACCAAAGACTACAAATTTTGATTTTATTCGGCGTTATGCTTCCAAAATCAGTATTTGAGATTGGCGTAATCCCAAATACTGACTTAAAATGGCGATATGCTGAACGTTGTATTTCCGTAAACTCTCAACCTAACGAATCCAAAAAAGCTGATATCCACCAAATTAGTTAACAAATGTTTTGAGATTTGTTCGCGGATTCCAGTGGCATTGGTTAAGTCCTTGTCTTTAAATTTCGCATTGCTATAGACAAAAATGCTAGCTCTAGTTTTCAATTGTTCAAATGCAAGCTCAGTAAGAACCAAATTCGGAATTTTTGGAGACTCCGTAAATTTGCGGATTCCACTTACAGTTGCGGAATCCAGAACAAATAGCTATATTCGCATGTTGCGGGATCCTCGGCACAACAAATGTGCCGACAAAATTTACGTAACAGGTATTTGTACCCGAAATCTAAGATAGTTTTGTAAGTGGAATCCACTGACTTTTTGGAACATGTTTAAAGGTTTGTCTATGGAATCCTGGAACAATCAGACAAACAGTTTTAAGCCTATCCGGTGCACAGTTTGGCCTTGTAATGTTTCTATTCACTTTTCAGTGCTATTATATCTCGCTTTATTACCCCAACTCTCGAGTAAAGATTACTTGTGTTCCGTAATGCCAATTTTTCAATGTTATTCACATATTTTTCACCGTAAATGTTTCCACTACTTGGATTGTGTTTTGTTCCATATTTAAAGTAAATTATCTTCAAACTTTTATAAAAAAAAATTTGTCCATTCGATTTTTTAACCGGATTAGTTTTATCAAAATAGTATCAGTCATACAAATAGTGAACCTCGTGAGTTTTAGAAAAAATCTCATTTGCTCTATAAAACTTGGCGAACGAAGCCAAATCAATTCTTGAAAATACATGGTACAAAGTACCAGAAATTTTGAATAATTTTAAAGCAACAAAATACGACGCAAAAATCCAAACTTACTTGTGTCAATTATTTCACTTATCAAAGTTCCGCAGAACAAGAAAACAATCTGAGAGTATGAGTCTTCACGACAAAATTGATAAAATTTTCTGACAAATAAACATGCCCAAAAAATCTTGTTCAATTCTTTTTTTTTTGAAATTGCAAACCGTAGAGAAATGGAAAAATATGGACAAATCGTTCTAAAAAATTAAATAGTTTTATAAAAAATTCAATCAATGCCAACATTTTTTTTTCTTGATTAATTTTAATTTAAAATTTAAATGGCTTACAGAGCCAGGCTGTGTATTTTGTGTTTTTTAAGCGAATTCGGCATGAATTAGATATCAGAATTTTCGCGGAATCTGTGTCATTGCTATTTTTCTTTGAGCTTCGCTGCCGTTTTGGATTCCGCAAACAAATACCTGAAAAATTATACCACTCAAAATTGCGCCAAAAACTGCAAATTTGCGGAATCTGTGACAGTAATTGCCGAATCTGGAACAATTTTAGAAATCCACAAACAAATTATAAACATTTCCAATTGCACCCAACTGCAGTCAATTTATTGAATTCTTTCAGGTATCATCTTACCCTTTGTTTTTTTCTCCCAATGAACATACACGATGGCCGGCATCATTGTAAGACCAAAAAGCACAATACTGCATACTGCATCAGAGAAAAAGAAAACGACAAATAAGTTTAATTTCAAATATGAAAGCTCAATCAGAAACCAACAATAAAAACAAACAGTAAGCAGTTCAAGTGAATCATTCCAATTCGTAAAATTAATTCTGAATTGACTCTGCAATATTATGTCAAAACTCCTCGACGGCGCATCTAACTCGGCGTGCCTTTGTTTACCACTGAGATGTGCCCCTCGTGAAATCTCTGTGCTTGTTTAATTTTAGAGAGATTTGATCAGAGTGTTCAGCTCACATTCAGTTTTTATAGGCTACACTTCCATTTTCCCCACTTACAGAACCTCAAGACTCCTTACATTCAAAAATTCCTGAGAAAAAGTATAAACTTCTTTTATTCTGGTTCCCTTATATTTATTTTTTGTAAAAACTGAGCAGAGAAATGCTGCGTATTTCAGAAACAATTGAATTAAAACTCTCAACAAGTGTTTTCGAAATGACTCAAATTTCATCAAGGGGGCTCTAACTAAAATTGATAATTGTTGTTTATTGCTATCGAATACACGCGTGTCGTTAATTATGCCCTCAAGTAATTAAGTCTATTATCGATCTAACTAAACCTAGGATAATTATTTTTTTCACAGACAAAATTATCTCATAAGAATCAACTTAAGTTGTTCTTCTCATTTCTAGAAAACTATAGCAAACACTACCCATATTTGCCGTTCCAATATCAGAAATTTCAGCTGTTTTAATTGAACTCTTCAAGGTTGAAAATCTCAAACCACCTTTATTTTCACTCTGTCATACAGATCATATGGTGAGCCCTAAAGAGCTTGAGCTCTTCAAAAGTTTGAAACGCTATAACCATAAAAATTAAGTTCATTTAACTCCATATAACATACCACTGGAATGGCGAGAAAACGGAAACCTTAACTATCACTCAGGTTTCAGCAGGTCACTGCTGTTGTTCAATAGTGTTTCTACCAGTTTTCAAAGAGAAATCTGCCCTTTTTTTATGAGTTCAGAGGGCAAGTTGGTTATACGAAGCAAAAGAATCAACTTTTTGACAGTTCACAAGAATATGCAGTTCTCAACTTTGTTAATATTTTGGATCAATTTTTCGTTTCGCTAATTAGATTTCAATTTGATACCTTTTAGGTAGAGCTGTTTGTAGCCGCTTCGGACTGGCTCTCTTCACTTCGGAATATTGTGGTCCATTTTTGAACAAAAGCTTGCTACGGCAGTGAGTTTTTGATGAAAACGCTTGTATGCAGATTCAACACTAAAACTCACGTTTCATTATCTCAGTGGCAACTGTACAAACTTTTTCCGACGATTCAGAATCTGAGGGTATTGCAAACCATTGTCTGCGACTGTGAACTGAGAACTACCCTGCAAGCCATTGGGAATCTTAAGTTCATTGTGCCTTCAAATTTTGCGAAGGCAATGTATTTCCATGAAATTGAGATTAAGCCTGAGAGATTAATTAGCGTTGTGCCCGAGAGCACTATTGTTGTTCCAAACAAAGTTGTGGAACAAAAGTGCAAGAAAAAGGTAAGTCAAAAACTTTGGAGAACCTCTCAAAAAAACCAGATTGTGATTACCAGCTGTATGCACCGGAATACCTGCAGACAGTGTAAAAACCGAGGCGCGCTGCTGAAGGTGGGGACTTTCAGGGAGGCGATGTACTATTGAAAACGAAAGTGTTAAGGAAATACAAGAGAATATCACCAAAAATAAGACTAAAACGCTCAACAATATTTAGAAACATATTTAATTTATTTTTCTTAATATACTTTTCTTTCTACTTTGTTAGGTTTTCTTTTTCTGTTTACAAAAATACGATATTCCATTCAAGTTGATTAAACATCAAATTTCAAACACGATGTACTTTATCCCCCATAAAAATCCCACGATACCTCTCCCCCAATAAACCTCTGGACCATTTCATCTCAAATACTGATGGTTTGAAATCACTCTTAACCCACTATAATCCAAAACAATGGGCGAGAGAACTTTTCTCCAAAAAAACTTCTGGAGCACCTCATCTCAAATTCAGATGATATTTTCTCAACCAAATACTGAATCAAAATGATTTCATCCGGCGATTACTGTTCCAACAAACCCGAGAAATCGAAGAATATCTCATTCGAGGCATTTTTGCGGGTGATCGATACTGAAGACTGACATCTACCATTTCACTTTACCAAAGCTTTCAGATTTGTTCGTGGATTCTATTGACAATAGTTAAGCCTAGCTTCTATTTGTTCATATGCAAATTCAGAATAAACTAAATTTGAAGAACATGCTTACATTCGCGGAATCGCAGATTCCACCCTCTTTTTGCGGAATCCAATCATAATTGCAGAATCTTGAACTATTAGTGATGTTCGCTCTTTGCGCAACCACCGAACAAAAGCCTACAAACTTTACGTTATAGATATTTGTAGGCGGAATCCACGAAACTTTTGAACTCAGAACCTACGGAACTTTTTTCAGTGGAAATCCACTTACAGTTTGGAACATATTCAATGACTTACCTCTGGAATCATTCAGACACAAATTGTGCGCCTATCCAGAGCAATTTGGCCTCGTAATTGTTTTTTAACGGACTTCACTGCTGGAAACTCACGTTGGCAAAATGTTTTTGTAAAATTGTTTCTGAATTAAGATTTAAGCAGCATCGTCTTAACAAAGTGGACTCGTTGTTATCAAGTGATTAAGAGTTAATGAATGACGTAGTTTTTCACTCATTTTGATCATGCACTTTTTGTTGTTCGTGCAGAATTTTTTCCCAAAAAAAATTTCTACACATTTGCTCACACTCAAAATTAATTATTCACTGTTTAAATATTAATGACTTAGCTGTATGCTTGTAGCGATGTCAGCTTTTACCGGATACGAATGTTTTCAGGCAATGACGGGGGGACCGTTCTTGAATTATCTTTTTGGCCAGTTTGCAAAAACACCTGCGTATGATTCAAACTTTTGCGGATTGTTTGAAACAGATCCTTCGAAAACGTCAATTCTTTTCTGGCTGGGTGCGGGTGGAAACATCAACGGACGCTCTTTGTTCCGGCAGTATTTTTCGTAAAGTTCTCCCCCTTCGCGAACCGTGCGTAACGAAGCTGGCTCGCTCGCTGTCATAGCCAAATCTGGATTGCCTTTTAGCCAGCCGTATACAACTAAGAATCACGTTGGAGATAACAATTGGTAAATCAATTTCTCAGTGGACTTTTTTTAAGTATCCCCCTATTGTAAGGGTTAAATTCGTTTGAAAGAGCTAAATTCGTTTGAAGCAAAGTGTGCTCGTTAATTTTTTCGAATGAAAGTTTTTTTATTAAATACAAAAGTGGGAATTGGTAACAAAGATCCGTTTTATTATATCAAAAGGGAGTCAACGAATTTGAACGCTGAAAATGAACGCCATGTTACATAAAGCTTCAACGCACAAATCAAAGCAACATTAGCTATCTGAGTACCAAAGCGGCGTAAGAGAAAAGATTGATATTAAACACGATACAACATGAAAAAAAGTAAACGATTTTGTGTGGTTCATGATTGTTTTTGAAACCAAAGTGGGACACGGCTGCCTAGAAGTAAACATCAACCGTGTTTTACTTACTCCAGCTTGCGAGCGTAGCTTTATAAACAAATCATTTTTCTAACCAAAGCCACAACTTGAGAAAAATTTATACGTAAATCCAGTTATATCAGATTCATTAAACTGCGTTCTTTATAATTTAACATTTAAAAATATACAAAAACTGGTTTGAAAACTCGAACATTTGTAATGGTTTTCTTAATCAAAGTAAGCTTTGCTAACTACTGAGCTTGATAATGTTTTGTTCTATGCACAAACCAGCTTGCGATCCGGGTATTATATGGACAGCCATGTTTTCTAACAAAACTCTCATAATTTTGTACCAAAAGTATATGTGTCAGCAGCTTCATCATGAAAAAAATGAACGCTCTGAGTTAGGACTGGAGTGTATAACTCATAGAGTAATTTCGGATAGGGTACACCGTCTGCTCGTCACGCTATCTTATTTTCGGCCGGATAGATTCGTGCAACTTCTTAGTCTAATACCGATCCTAATCTTACTCTTATACTATCTAGTCTCAGG